TATATATATGTATATATATATATATATATATATTGGGGTGTATGCGCATGCAGCACTTTAAAGCAGGCGACGCTCGCTTTTTAATTTGTACGGATGTAGCAGCGAGAGGAATTGATATAAAGGTTTGCTGCTTTATTTTATTTTTTATCTGTTTGTTTATTTGTTTATTTGTTTATTTGCTTATTTGTTTGCTGCTTTATTTTATCTTGTTTCTCCTGCTCTCTGTTTATCAGTTTGTTTGTCGGCTGCTTTTATTAATTTCTTTTTTCTGCTTGTTTATTTGTTTATTTGTTTACTTGCTTATTTATTTATTTATTTATTTATTTATTTATTTGTTTGTTTGTTTGTTTGTTTGTTTGTTTGTTTGTTTGCTGCTTTCTTTTCTTTTTCTGACTGGAGCCCCTCTTGTTAATGCGAGCATTACCTTATTAATCAATTAATTAATTAATTAATTAATTAATTAATCTATTGATTAGTTAATTAATTTTTTTATTTGTTTACTTATTTATTTATTTAATAGAACCTTCCTTTATTGTTAATGCTAGCATTACCCTTAGCAACTAATTAGTTAATTAATCAATATATATATATTTATATATTTATATATTTATATATTTATATATTTATATATTTATATATTTATTTGTCTAATAGAACCTCCCCTTCTTAATAATGCTAACATTGCCGGACTCTGAGGAGCAGTTCTTTCACCGGGTTGGGAGAGTAGGGCGAGCGGAGTGTATGGGTTTAGCAATTTGCATTGTTTCTACAGAAAAAGAAAGGGTTTGGTGCATTAAACCCTAAACCCTAAACCCTAATTAACCCTAATTAATAAACCCTAATTAATAAACCCTAATTAATAAACCCTAATTAATTAACCCTAATAAACCCTAATGAGTAGGGTATATTGCTTCTACAGAAAAAGAAAGCGCTGCTGCAATATGAAATAGGAAATATGCCGTAGGGTTTAGGGTTTAGGGTTTAGGGTTTAGGGTTTAGGGTTTAGGGTTTAGGGTTTGTGTGCGCAGGTATCACTCCTGTCCTGATAGAGGAAGAGGCTGCACAGACCGACGGCTCGCCCAAGAGGTAACGACAAAACCCTAAACCCCAAAGAATGAGGGTTTAGGGTTTATGTGTAGACCCTAAACCCTAAACCCTCAAACTAAATTCAATCAAAGCCCTTAAAAGGAGTTCTTATGTAACCCTTACCTCTCAAACCATAAACCCTAAACCCTAAACCCTAAACCCATAAGCCTTCCCCTGCGAACGGTTCCATTCTCTGCCTCCCGTGCGGGTTTAGGGTTTAGTGTATAGGGTTTAGGGTATAAGGGTTAGGGTTTAGGGTTTAGGGTTTAGGGTTTTATGTGCAGATATTCAGCGGAGGGTTGGCCGCGAGTTGCCGCAGCTGCATCCTAAGTATTTTTATGCCCCAGGTTTGTTTGTTTTAAGAGGGGCTTTGATAACAAATAAATCTTTTATGCATTTGTGTAGACTGCTGCAGCTGCTGCAGCTGCTGCAGCTGCTGTCTCTGTTGCTTCCTTTGCTGTCTCTGCTGCTGCAGCTGTCTCTGTTGCTTCTCTTGCTGTCTCTGCTGCTGCTGCTGCTGTTTCTGGTAGTGTTGCTGCTGTATCTTTTGCTGCTGTTGCTGTCTCTGCTGTTGCTGCTGCTGTCTCTGCTGCTGCTGTTGCATCTGTTGCTGCTGTTTCCGTCTATACTGCTGCTGTCTCTGTTGCCGCTGCGGCTATACCGTTTGCTGCTGCTGCTCTACCATTTGCTGCTGCTGCCCTACCTTGTGCTGCTGCTGCCCTATCCTTTGCTGCTGCTGCTGCTGTATCGTTTGCTGCTGCTGCTGTATCGTTTGCTGCTGCTGCTGCATATTTAGCTGCTGCTGCTGCTGCTGCTGCTGCTGTGGCTTGTTCTGCTGCAGGGATTGCTGATCCCTTCGGCGCCCTCGCAGCTACAGCTGACGGTAATGCACTGACCTTCTCTATTTTTGCTGTCTGTCTCCTTTCTTTTGTCTCTCTTTTCGCGTCTCCTTGCTTTCTTTGTCTCTTCTCTCTGCTATCTTTTGTCTCCTTTCTTTTTCTCTCTCTCTTGCTGCGTCTCTCTTCTTTCATTTTGCTTCTGTCTCCTTGCGTCTGTCTCTTTGCTTCTGTCTCTTTTACTGTTTCTCTTTTACTCTGTCTCTTCTTGTCTTGTCTGTCTCTTCTTATCTTGTCTGTCTCTTCTTCTTTCTGTCTCCGCGAGTTTTCTTCTCATCTTCATTTTTATTTTATTTTTTTTCTGTCTCCTTCTTTATTCTGCTGCGGGGCCCCTTACATCTCCTGTGCGCCCTTAAAGATGCGCAGCTGCCTGTGCAGCTAGCTAGCTAGCTAGCTAGCTAGCTGTAAAGTTAGCTGCGGAGCTAGCTACCCACCAACGTGACTGCTTGGCTACAGCGAGTGCCGCTATGGCGGTACTAGGTGCTGCTGCGGCTGCTGCTGCTGCTGCGGCTGCTGCTGCAGCTGTTTGTCGACTTTGTGTGTGTCTCCTGCTGCAGACTCGCAGAGACAGCGCGGCAAGCAAGCAGCACTTCCGGTGTACGGCGAGCACAAGGCTGAACAGAGCTCTTCTGCTACACGTAAACATTTGCAGGTGAGTGTTTGCTGCTGTCTCCTTACTTTGTGTTTATCTGTCTCTGTTGCATGTTCTGTCTCCTTTTGTCTGTCTCCTTTTGTCTCTCTGTCTCTTTTTATGTGTCTCTGTCTCCCTTCGTCTCTTTTCCTCTCCTACACTCGAAAGAAGAGGGTAAAGTAACAGCAGCAGCAGCACTGCAGCAGCAGCAGCATTGCTGCTGCACTTGCATTCTTTGTTGCTGAATGTTGCTGCTTTGCTGCAGGAGATCGCTGCTTCTGTCTCCTCGCTGCTGTCTCTTGAGAAAGAAGCGCAGATGAACTTCCTTCTCTTAGCATCTGGGAAGCAGAAGTAACTCTGCTGCAGCTGTTGCAGCAGCAGCAGCAGCAGCTGCTGCTGCTGCTGCTGTAAATGGTATTATTGCTGCTGCTGCAGCAGAAGCCAGCGCAGCGATGCGCAGAACTTTAAATTTTAACTTTAAGAGCAAACTCTTCTTTTTTGTTTGTTGAGAGCCCTCTGCTGCTCTGCTGCGGCAGCAGCAGCAAACGTTGAGGGCTGCTGCTGCAGCAGCAGCAGCAGCAGCAGCAACAGCAGAGAATTCTGCTTCATATAATACTTTGAAAAGACTCCGCCTATTGTGATGCCTTGTGCTGCAGCCAGTTCTTGTGCTGCTGCTGCTGCTGCTGCTCCCGTCACTGTTGTTGCTGCTGCTGCTGCTGCTGTTTCTACTAGTGCTGCTCTTGGGGGTTTCTGTGCTGCTGTTGCTGCACAGCTTGGTGCTGTTTACGCTGCTGCGTTTCATGCTGCTGTGTTTGCTGCTGCTGCTGCTGCTGTTGCTGCTGCTGCTGCTGGTGTGTCTGTGTGTAATTGGAAGTTGTCTGTTTTAATTGTTTAAATGTTTGTCTCCTTCTCTGTTGTCTGTTTACTGTCTCCTCTTTGTCTGCATGTCTGTCTCCTTCCTCATCTAATGCTCTATGCTTCTGCTGTTGCTGCTGCTGCTGTTGCTGCTGCTGCTTAATAGAAAGAAGTTGGTTTTAAAGATGCAGCAATAAAAGCAAAAGACCGAAGAGACAGAGACAGATGTCTCCTTCTCATTTAGAGACAAAAAAATAAAATGTTTTCTTACTATCCTCTCTCTCTCTCTATGTACATATATATATATATATATGTATATAATATATATGTATATATATGTAAATATATATATATATATAATTATGTATATTTATATATATTTATATATATATATATATTTATTTATTTGTTTATTTATATATTTGTGTTATTGCGTTGGGGTGTCTCCTTTTCTTTTTTTGTTTGTTTGCAGTCTCTCCCTTCTAACCAACGCCAGTCAAACAAAAATAAATATATATAAATTAAAAGACAGATAAATAAAAATAAATAAACAAATAAAAAGAGAGAGAAAGAAGTAAAAATAAATAAAAAGATAAAGAAATAAAATAAATAAAAAGAGAGACAGAGCGAGAAAGAGAGGAGGATAAGAGAGAGACAGAAAGAAATAAAGAAAAGGAGACAGATATAAAGAGACAAACAAATAGAGAAAGAGACAGATATAATAAGAGAGACAGATATAAGGAGAAGTATATATATATATATATATGTATATATATATATATATACATATATATATGTATATATATATAAATACATATATATATATAGAGAGAGAGAGAGAGATAAAGAGAGCACAAACAGAGAAGGAGACACCGAGACGCAGTTGGAGACAGAGAAGGAGACATTTGTATATATATATATATACATATATATATGTATATATATATAAATACATATATATATATAGAGAGAGAGAGAGAGATAAAGAGAGCACAAACAGAGAAGGAGACACCGAGACGCAGTTGGAGACAGAGAAGGAGACATTGAAGGAGACAGAGACAGAGAGAGAGAGGTAGATAAAAATAGACAGAGACAGAGACAGAGAGACAGAGATAGATAAATAAAGACAGAGAAAGAGACAGAGAGACAGATAGATAAATAGAAACCAAGGAAGAGACAGAGATATAAGCAGAAAAAAGAGACAGAGAAACAGAAATAGACAAAGAAAGAGATGCAGAAGGAGATAGAGAAGGAGACAAAGAAAAATAGAGACAGAGACAGAGTCAAAGACACACCAATAGACAAAGAAGGAGACAGAGAAAGAGACAGAGAAATAATAAATAGAGACAGAGACAAACAGAGGGACAGAGACACATGCAAGCAGAGAGAGAGAGACAGATATACATACATATATGTATACATACATATATATATATATATACATATATATATATATATATAGAGAGAGAGAGAGAGAGACAGACA